TTTAGTTGTCCACTTTAGAAATGACACACAGGTTAAGGCAACAATGATTAGCATAGTGAAGTTACAATTTTACCCTTATAGTACAATTTACAATTCCAAAATAAATTCACTCAAGATAACTAATCAATGATGGAAAGTTCATAAATTTATTTACTTTATTTATGACAAGTTTTCATAATAGGAAAATATTTGTTGTCCTTTCTTGATTTGTCAAAATGGACAACTAAAAGAGGAAATAGGGACAACTAAATAGGGACGGAGGGAGTATTCAATTCAATTTTGGGTTGCTGACTAAAATCCAAAGAGATCATTATTCTGGCAGAAAATCTACATGGATCTTTTGTATGTTTTCTCCAACTACTTCCTAACACAATCTTGATATTTAAAAAAAAAAATATGTAATCAATTTTATGTTATGCACAAAGAAGAGTAGACTTCACTAGTTGTTACTTGATTTTTTCAGTATTATTTGGTATATTCTCTATTTCAATCAACATAAGAAGTATGTCTATGAATTTGTTACGTAAAAAATATAGATAACCGTGGAATTAGTTGATTTATATTGCCATCTTCCTTTGATAAGATGATTGTGATGTCAAATTTCTTCCCTCTAATCAAAGATTTTAGATTTGAACTATTTTTTGAAGAACCTTTTGATAGGAGAATTATACTCTCTTTATAGACATACATGACACAAATACAAATCAGTTACATTGATATATTTCAAATAGAACTCCCTTTGTCCCAATTTATGTGACACAATTTCCTTTTTAGTAAGATTCAAAGAAAATAACACATTTGTATATTTAGTACTAATAATTGAACTTTAAAATGCTCACTTTATTTCTAATGAGATGATTTATAGCCACAAGTTTCAAAAAATTGTCTTTCTTTCTTAAATTTCATATCAAATCAAACAATATCACATAAATTGAAACGAAGATCGTATATACTTGAATTTTAAAAAAAAGGTCAACGTATGGGATACTTTTAATAGGCATCTAATAATTTACTATGATTTCATGTTCCTTATTCTTGTTTTCTACTATTTCTCATCACCTTCTAAGAGTCCAATTTCCAAATTAAACATAAATAAAAACAAAAAGGGGACTTAAGTGGTACAAATGAAACTATTGGGTTTTGCGTTACCTATTCTCATACTCCAAGGAGGTGATTTGTAATTTAGTAATCTATCGGGACGCTAAACGTATTATCCTTCATAAATCAGGTGATAAATTCAAATTAAGCAATTTTCAAAACAAAATAAATCACGCAATTAAGGCGGGAGAAGATGAACTAATCACCCATCTCTACATAAAGTGTGTCCTCCATAGTCCAACTTTTGTTCTAACTGAAAACTCAAAAAACCCAAAGCAACACGCATACGATTCTTTTGCGTTTTCTGCAGATGATCATTTTGTGATGGTGGTTATTGTCAATGGCGGATCCGTACAGAACGAACCCTCACGCTGCTTCATCTCTCGAATCCGAAGATATGTCTTCCTTTTTTCTTAATTTTCTTCAAGGTACGTCCGCTTCCGCTTCTGCGACTGCTGCGGCTGGTTTTTATAACCGATCGGTACCGGTGCCGGTGGCTGAGTCATCTTCTAGCCTCAATTTCTCCGATCCCGGCCGATTTTATGCTGCCGAGTTCAAGGAAGGCGTTGAGAATGTGTTTGCTTCTGCTGGCCTCGGGGATTGTGACGGTATGAATTCAGCTAATAGGAGAGAGTTTTTGGAAGATGATAAGGTTGATAACTTTGGTTTCAGTAGCGAGGTGAGGTTTTTTTGTTTATTCTGTACAAATAGAACTTGCTAGTTCTGCAAATTTCACTTTCATTTTCCTTTTTATGTTTAAATGATTCTCGTAAAATTTGTAAATTTCATTTACTCTGATTTTACAATCTGTTCAGGAGTGTGATGGACTTGACATGCCATCTGATCCGACTCATCCACGTTCCTCAAAGAGGAGTAGATCTGCTGAAGTTCATAATTTGTCCGAGAAGGTTCGCTTCAATTTTGAATCTTATATTTGATGGTTTTCATCCTAAAAGTACATCTACCTATTTTATACATGATTAATTTTTGTGTGACAGAGGAGGAGGAGTAAGATCAACGAGAAACTGAAAGCATTGCAGAACCTAATTCCGAATTCTAACAAAGTATTCTTCAACATCTCAGCCTTTGAGCATCATTATATTTATTGGTTTTTCTTTGCTATCATAATTGAGTTTTGTTTATTTCACAGACTGACAAGGCATCTATGCTTGATGAAGCCATTGAATATCTGAAGCAACTTCAACTGCAAGTTCAGGTTAAACTTCTTGCTACTCCTCTTTGACTACTTCTAGTTGCTCGTAGTCTAGTAGATGCTATATGTTTTCAAACACGTTAAAAGAACATCTTGATAGGATTATGGCAGTGATGGCTCAACAGGAGTAGGTAATAAAGGTGTATCGTGTATGTATAATGTTAAGGAAAGTTAGTAACATATTCTAATTCTTACAGCGGAGCACAAAGTCACGGAATAAATACACTTATTTTTAAGTGAATATCTTTATTGGAAATTGAAAGTATAACACCATCTTTCTCTCTTATATCTGCCTATTGCATGTTCAATTTTTATAAAAGTGTTCTTTGGTTGATCAATCATATTTTTTGGTGGTTGTTCTTGACAAAGGTCTTTGTTTGCTAGTGATATTACTGTAAATGCATGCCATTAACCTGAAGGAAGAGTATTAATATCAATGTAGGGATTCATATGTACTTTACTGACTTCTTTGAGAACTAATTGAACCCTCATTAGTTTGAATCGTCTCATTCAAACATTTATGTCTGTAAAAAGAGAACATTTTTATTTATGTTTTGTGTTCTATATCCCAC